ATACTGAATAAATATGTATTTTTAGAAGCCTTCTTGTAATCTGCCTCCTTTAAGCAGGGCCAAGATGGGTGAGGTAATGTCTTTTATTGCATCAACTTCTGCTGATGAGAGAGACAAGCTGTCAACTGCATGGAGGGGCAAACGGACAGTGTCTTCCTTTCTATCTTGAGAACCAAACCCATTGGACACAATCCAAACCTCATTTTGACCAATAGAGAAAGACTTGTTATTTGTATTAAGATAGTGCCTTGCGGGTCCAGTGGCCTCCTTGTACGAGGCGTTGCAAACACAGAGTGAGAAAGTCCCTGCCCGAAAGAGTTTACATTCTGAAGAGACAAGACAGACTACACCTCTCGGTTCCTCTGCTTCCTCTCCCAGGTTAAGTGTCTTGCCCAAGGGTATACAGCAGTTCAGTGGCAGAGACAGGAATGGTTACCTGTCTAGTGCTCGACCCTTTAGAACAGGGGTGCCCAACGCGGTGCCCGCGTGCGCCATGGCACCCACCGGGGCGTCTAAGTGCATCCGCATACTGGCCGACGGACAAGCATCCGCCGAAATGCCGCCGACAAGTAGAATCATCCGGAGGTGTCACCGCTGAAATGCCGATTTTCAGCGGCATTTCGGCGGCGATGCCTCTGGATGACGCTACTTGTCAGCGGCATTTCGGCGGTGATGCCTATTGACGTTGCCGCTTATTGGCGGCATTTCGGCGGATGCTCGTCTGCCGCCATAGTCCTCCGTGGCTCGTCATCTGGCGCCCGCCAGACAAAAAAGGTTGGGGACCACTGCTTTAGAATATGCTGCCTCCAGTGAATTCAATGGATTCCGGATTAGATTCACTGTCAATATTTAACAAATACAAATGACGGAGGAAAATATTAACTTCTGCATTTCATTATTTGATTTTAAGTGTGGAGTTTGTTGCAGCAACATGGGTTATTGCATTAATTTCTTTTTTCAAATTACTTAACTGTTTGTAAAAACAGAGAAGGAGAAAAGAGTAAATTGAAAATGCAGGCACAGTATTTAAAGCTTTGTGAGACTCTGTTTTGCACAGCTGTTAATTACATCACTATGTTAATGCTATAGAATTAACATAAACACTTATATAGCACTTGTCATGTATAAAACATTATACAAACATTCATCCTGACAGCAGCCATATGAGGCAAATTCAGGATTATCTGTATTTTGCCAATTGAGATGGAGAGAGTTTAAAGGGAAACCATCAATTTTAATAATGTCTTTTCTGCATGAAAATGTGTAATTATTATTATCTGAAATAGATTAAGAGAAACCAGCTAGTCAGGGCATTTTTCAGGGCCTTTTGTTTTGACAGTTCCATGTATAGTCAGTTTCACGGAGCCCATATATGATTGGTTTCCCTTTTCGCATGTATGGGTTACACAGCAACCGGAGAGAGGAAAAACATTAAAAACACTTTAAAAAAATGTAACTGTAAAACTGCAAAAATTGATTCAGAGCCAAGTGCAGAATCAGAAACTACTTTTAACTTGACTAGATTTCAGGTTTATTGTTCCTTTAGCATTTTGCCTAAGGCTGCAGGGGATCAGTCAGGTTTAGAACGCAACATTAATTGAATCCCACTTCTTCTTCAAAGCTGTTGATCCATACCTCTCACTATACACTCTTTTGTAGATACAGGAAAAGCCCAGCTGTTGGGACTATGTTGTGACAACTCAAAAATCTCAGTCCTAAAATTGTGCCTGGATGAAGATGAATTTTAATGGCTTATAATTTAGCTCCATTAACATAGATTTTTGAACAAACCAAGCAAATATTCTTCAGTAAGAAATGGCTGCACCTAACATTTTAACATTCACTCACTTTTGAGTTCAACTCTGCCCCTTTTCTCTTAGTTCAAACAGCTGAATGTCATTTGTGCTCACATTCCAAAACCATCAGCTTTGAGCTGAGATTAAGCAACAGAAATTTAGTCCAAAAAGAGAATTGCTGAGAAAATTATAAGCAAGGACATTTACGCTGCACGCTGGAGCAAGGACTGCTTTCTCTTTTAGAGATGACTAGCACCCAGTGCAATGCAGTCCTGGTCCTCTTTAGGAACTCTGGGTGATTTTGTAATGTAAACAGTAATGACCTCTATTATAGCTTTTATTATACTATAAAGCTAAGGGGAAATTGAAAATTGAAGTCCTGCTTTTCCAGAGAGCATTCTTTAATTAAATCAGTTTCAGTGATGCTCCTTCAGATTTACACTGGTGTAACAGAAATCAGAGTTTGACCCTGCAACTATGTAAACAGATTAACCCTATCCATAGGCATGTGCCGTTTGGCTTTTGACTCTTCAAACCCATAAAAAAGTAATTCTGCTTTGCTCTAGTGAGGTATAGTTATGACAGAGAAGGCAATTTTATTAAAAGCCTTAGTACTTTCTAAAAATTACCTTCTGGCCTGAATTTTCTCAGGTGTGTAATCAGCTCAAGGATGACTTTTTTCTGGAAAGATTTGTGTATTTCAAAAATTGGTTTTGTGAGGCACCTAAGAATGTATTTGATTGTACACACATAAGGCATTACTCTGTGTGTTCAGATAATTCAAAACAAGCTGCATCTGAGATGGTCAGACTGGCAGTGGCTGTATGGCCTGATCCAAATCATAGCCACAGAACCAATGGATTCTCCCAGTGATTTCAGTGGGCTTTGAATCAGTCCCTCTGTCCTTAAAAGCCATTGCTATGCTTGAAAAAATTTGCTTTGGAAATATATTTTGGGTAGGTTGGCTGTTCACAAACGACTTGCAGAGTTTAGAGCTATACGAGCTCATATTTGCCACATCACACGTGACATTTTCGAATAATAATAAAATACTTAGCACTTAAAGAATTGTGCTTCCCATTGGGAGCCTGAGGCACACAGACATGATAGTGATTTGCCCAAGATTCATGGCAAATTAGTGACACTGCGAAGAATGGAATCCAGGGATGAAATCCTGACTCTGCTAAAGTCAGTGGGAGCTTTAAAGTCCATTGACTTCAGTGAACCCAGGATTTCAGCCCGAGTGTCTTGACTACCAGCCTGCGCTCCAATTGCTTGACTGCACACCTTGGACTGGGCAGACACTGTACTAATGTTGATTGATCTGGCTCCTTTCATCCTTACTCTTGGATTATTTTTGCCATACTTATCCAGATGTGCAGCCATTAGTGGTCTGCATTGGCTTTTACACAGTGCCACTCCCGAGAAAGGAAGAAAAGCAGGAGACTGAGTTGTGCAAGTTTACATTTTTTACACTGAAATACTGCAGGGAATATTAGTGTAGCCAGAGAGAAAATATGTCCAGGGGAAAACACAGAACATGCCAGACTGGCTCAGACTTAGCCAGTATCATATTTCCAACAGTGGTCAGTACCAGCTGCTGCAGAGGAAGCTATAAGAACCCCACAGAAGGAAGTTGTGGAATAACCTGCCCCCAGAGAAAATTACTTCCTGACCCACTTTATTTAGAGGTTGTCTGAGTGCCTGAAGCATGAACATTTAGCCCCTTTCCAAAACACTTATTTTAATCTTTGCTGTAAGTGTGGAAATTCTAATTGTCCATATAAAGGTCTAATCTCTTTTGAGTCCTCCTGCTAAGCTCTTAGCTTCAATGAAATCTTGTGGCTATAAGTTCCTCAGACCAGTTCTGTGTTGTGTGAAAAGGTATTTCCTTTTATCAGTTATGAATTTGCCACCTTCATTTATTTATTTTATTTATTTATTAATGGAGATATCCCATCTCCTAGAACTGGAAGGGACCTTGAAAGGTCATTGAGTCCAGCCCCCTACCTTCACTAGCAGGACCAAGTACTGATTTTGCCCCAGATCCCTAAGTGGCCCCCTCAAGGATTGAACTCACAACCCTGGGTTTAGCAGGCCAATGCTCAAACCATTGAGCTATCCCTCCCCCCATTAATTTGTGTACCTTTATCAGATCCCCTCTTACTCTGCTCCGCTAAGGTAAACAGTCCCAGTGCAAATGCAGAAACCCTGTCTAGATTTTCATTTCAGAATGTTGTATGGACAGGGGGGTAAAATTTTGCCATGCAAATTAAAGCGGCAAAGGTACATCTGTGTATGGGATAGTGGCACTTGAACAGCTCTGAGGGAAGCGGACGGTAACGTGTCAAAATCTGAACTGTGAACTTAGGCCGTAGGAAGAGAGCACTGGAGGATCTTCACAGCAGCAGTACTTTTGGGCCCAGCCATGCGTTCCCTGCCACCTGTTTGCTGCTGAGCTAGTAGTTTTTGCAGACCAGGGCCCCAAATAAGGGGGGCACAACCTTAGCATGGTTTCCCCCCCCCACACACACACACACCCCTCTAAAATCCTACCCTTCTCAGAATAGGGGAACAGCACCAGATCACCCACTAACGAACCTCCCCAGAGAATGGCAGAGCTGATGGGCCAGCTTCTGTTGTCAGCAGGTGCTGCCCAGGTGCAGAGGGAAGGTAGCCTTGCACCTCCAGGATTCTGGGTTGCTCTGGGGGCTGCTCTAACTGATGGTGGCTTCCCCCTCCCCCAGCTACCAGCTGGCTCCTCCACAGCCCACCATAGCAGGAATAGTGCCCTGGAAAAGTGCTGATCTGCCCTCAGCACAGCATGAGAGGGGTGTCAAGGAGCTATAGCGGAGGGAGGCTTAGGCTCTGGGAAACCAGAGGCACGTGTGTCCTACTGAATTCAGTGCTGGAGGCACTGAATGGAAGGGGATGTGCCATTGTCACATGTCACCTGTTGGCAGATGAGAGGAAGGGGGTGGGGAGGCAAGTGAAAAGAGGAGAAAATCAGGTTAAAACATGTGTGGGACGGAGGCTTCCGTCACGTGATTCCCCCCCAACCTGAGAACTGTTGCAGCACGTCTTGCAGGGAATGCCATCGGTGCTGTCAATGAGCACAGACGAGCGTCAGGGAGAAGTGCAACACCCTGCTTTGATAAAAACCTTCTGTGTTTGTGACCCGAGTGACCCTGTTCTTCCCAACAGAAATTACAAGGAGAGAGCAATCCTAAAAATATCAATGACACTATGAAGGAATTGTTTGAGATCATTCCCGGTGACGGGGAGCAGCTGTTGGAGAGAGACGCCTCCCGGTGCAGAAGGTGTGCCGTCGTGGGGAACTCCGGAAACCTTAGGCAATCTCAGTATGGCCAAGATATCGATGCCCACGACTTTGTGCTCAGGTGAGTACAGAAGAGACTCAGGGATCCTGAACCTCCTGATCAGCTCAGTTATTTAACATTTGTCAGCATTTGTAGGGCCAAATTCTGCATTGCTTTATAGGGCTGCAGGGGGATACACATCAGAGCAGAATCCAGTGCTTGGGTCCTGAGTGAAATCCCACTGAAGTAATTGGCAGTACTTGAGTTGACTTCCATGGGAGTGGGATTGGGCCCTTAGCAACTAGCACATTACTTCTCCCTCAAGATCAGAACTGGGAATTAGTGTCCCTCTCTGAACAAAACAGAGGAGCAAATCCTGCACTGATGCTGAACACCCTCAATTCCCAGTGAAATCAGTGGGAGTTGAAAGTACTCTGCTCCTTGCAGGATCAGGCCCCTAGCTGGCCAGATGCATTCTTAGCATCACTCCACTAGCATAACTGAACTAGTTTGACCAGGGTGGAATTTGGCCCCATGTGTTAATTGTCCTAACCTGGCCTTGTGCCTGCTTTAAATGATGATGGGCTTCGCATAATTGTGTTTCCGATTCTTCATTTAAAAACCAGAGATTTTAAATAAATGTGATATTTGCTTTTACTGCTGATAGTTGGGCTCCCAAAGTGACTTTTACAAACTTACACTGATATAAAAGGCCAAATTCCGCTCGCTTTTACTCTGGTATATTCTCTACCCAGAAATCACTTCACTACTGACATGCAGCTACTTTTGCAGTGGAATGAAGTAGCTGTTCTAGAGTGGACAGTAAAACCCCAGGTAGGACAGGAAGCAACTAGACAACACCAGTTGTGTTACAGTGAGCAGCATCACTAGTCCTCTAAAGTAGCAAATGATGACCATCGTGCCCAACTGAAAGTGCAGGGGTCCTTTTAGTGGGGCAGAATGGAACGTCCCCAATTGGAATTTAGCCTGGATATCTGGGTTGAATAACCTGATCTTTGCAAAACATGCCATGGGGGATTCAACAGCCACAGGGGTCAGACGCTTTGTTTAAATCTCAACCAGCACAGTGAGTTCTCGCACTATTCGGGGGCACTGGTTCAATACCAGCTCAGAGAAAAGAGTCCAGCCAATGGAACTGTCTGCACCAGAAGTATCTGGCTGGCGGGAGTTCTCCCATCCACCTGCTATCCAGCGTGTTACTGCTAACCCTGAGGGATACAGTACAATCTGATACGGCTGCTGGCCGCTTTAGCTTCTGAGGCTTTTTTTTAATGGTAGCTAGGGAATAAGACACACAGATGTTTATCCCTGCTTTGAGACCCTACTGCTTACATCCTTGGGAGTGAGCCCAGGTCTACACTAGCGGGGGGGTCGACCTAAGATACACAACTTCAGCTACGCGAATAGAGTAGCTCGGTGGTTCCCAAACTGGGGTTCGTGAACCCCTGGGGGTTCGCAAAATGTTACAGGGGGTTCTCAGGAAGAAATTCCCTAATGGCGGATAGAGCTGTCCCTAGGGACACCGGGCAGCACAGGGCCAGCAGCCCAGAGCCCCTGGACTCCCAAGAGCTAAGCAGATCAACGCAAGCATCTCTATCACACTTCAAGACTCCTTATAAAAAATGGAAAGGGAGGTGGATATTTTTTGCTGTTTTTAAAATTAAATAGGCAGCTAGTCTAATGTGTGTTGTTTGCCTGGACTGCTCAAGGCCTGAATGCTTGTGTAGGGGGAACTCTTTGAGTTCGCTTCTTAAATACCTTCCTGCTGTTTCACATCTGATACTGCTTGATGAAACATAGGAGCCTTGTCTTATAACAGGCTTATTCAAAGAGATACAAGCTACGAAAGTGAGATCTCAGAAGAGTGTTGCCGTTTTCATAATGTAATAAAAATACTGTAATGATAAATAATAATTACTAATAAATAGTGTGTAATAAGCATGTCATAAAAACATATTTTATATTTCCCAGATCACTGCTTTTATAATTTCTACTCGGGTAAAGGAGAAAATCCCTGGAAATATTCATTTTTAGGAGGGGGTTCGCGAGACATGATATTTTAGTGAAGGTTGTTAAAGTTTGGGAACCACAGGTTGTTAAAGTTTGGGAACCACTGGCGTAGCTGAAGTCAGTGTATCTTAGGTCGACTTACCTGGCCATGAGGACGGCGGCGAGTCGACCACTGCCGCTCCCCCGTCGACTCCGCTTCCGCCTCTCGCGAGCTGGAGTTCCGGAGTTGATGCGGAGCGCGATCGGGGATCGATTTTATCGCGTCTACACTAGACGCGATAAATCGACCCCCGATAGATTGATCACTACCTGCCGATCCAGCGGGTAGTGAAGACCTGCCCTGAGGAGACTGTATGTGGTTTTGAAAATGGGTCCTTTTGTCTGTGATCTCTACTCCTGTGCTTTCATGAGCTTTACTCAACACCAGAGCAATACACACTAGCAACCCCCTGCTATGCATGAGCAGTGCGGCTTTAAGCTTAGCCTTGAGCCTTATGCTGTGAAAGTTGTCACCTTTTCATCCTGTCCTAGTAGGAACAAAACCAAAAAAAACCCACCCCATTCTGACATTTGCATCGCCGTGCCGTGCCGTTGCATCAATGCATGATGATGATTCATCCCCCCACGGTGAGCCGATGTTCTCACATATTGACTCAGTGCTCCAACAGAAAGGCCAGCCTCATGACGTGGTAACAATATGTTGTTGAACATAAACTAAATTCAGCTTCCATTGTCCTGTAAGCTAAAGGCCAAACTCTTCTTGACTTGCTGCTACAGCAGCACCGTTGGCTTCAGTGGAGCTACATGTGAGGGAAAGGCTTGTAGAATTTGGCTCTAGATTTTCAGGCATACAAGTCAGGCCTGGGAAAACTTGAGCTCTCCTATGGACAAATGGCAATACTGAATTTGTCACCTGAAAAACCTGAAAGGAAAGATCTAGAGACTCTTTAAATTATCTGTAGATAATTTTGACCCTGGTGTCAGAATTCATACATTGTAATTCACTAGCTCGGCCTCGAGACCCACCGGAAAGTGCTACTTTCAGGATGAAGAACTCAAAGCACAAGCAGAGCCCAGCTCACCTGGAGAGTTCCCTTCCAATCAGAATGATTGATTGGGCCCTGTTCTATCCTTAGATATGCAAACAGCTCTTGCTGGACACAATGGGGGCTCTACGAATGGCTGGCTGAGGCCGACAGTGGCAGTTCATGGAGATGTTTTCTTTGGTTTCAATCCCAATGGGTTTGTGTTGAGACCCTGGAGTCTGGCTGTGATCTGGGTTCAAATGAAGCCCCAGACTCCCACTGAAACTACTAGACCCTCCAGCAGATCCGATTCTCTCAAGGCTCAAACCTCCTTTCTCTGACCCCAGGTTGGTTATGAAGTTTGTGAAACAGCCTAAAGCCAGCTGAGTTTTTTATCTTGCTTGGGGCTTATTTTTGGTAACCGTAAAGGATGAGTGTGAAAGATGGAATTTCATGGTCGGCATCCTCCATATCAGAACTGTCATTTGTGTGTGTGTGTGAGGAGCTCAATGGCATGATCCATTGGTTAGCGCATGTGACTGGGAGCTAGGGAACTTGAGTTTTAGTCCAGGCTCCGACATTTACTCACAGTGCAACTTTTGACATGTCCCTTAACCAATTTGAGACTCAGTTTCCTCATCTGTAAAATGGGGATGAGAGTTGCCCATCTCATGGGAGTGTTGTGGGAGCCACTCAATCAATATTTGATCCTGGTGCATTGGTTACAACAGTGTCACTGAGAGCGGATTGTACTGCTGTAATTGACCACTCATGGTAGCTTGCTACGTGCCTACCTGGCTCACACGGAGCAGTATCTTAATCTGTGAGTAGTCCTACTGAAATCAGCGGAACTACTCCCGGAGCAAGGCGTGAGTTATTGCCATGAAGGGTGGCATAGTCCTGCCCTGGGTTTGTAAAAGCCCTTCGACCTGACTTTGAGGCCTACTGTTTCTCATGGTCCTGCATATGACTTCATTTAAAATGAGATCACTTTTTACCTCGACTCTACAATTCCTTACATACACTTCCATGTTTCAGTGGATTAGAAACTAAGGGCCTACTTCCATTTACACTAAGGCCTCTTAACCCCTGGCTAATGTAATGTTGAGCCTTTTATCGTGTCAGGGCAGTTAAGGGAGCCTTAGGATAGCGGCCATGAAAGGGTCCTGGGTGAGCGGGGCTAGCCTTGACTTCACTGCTATCATTGCTCTAGCTAGCTTTGATCTAGCTTGATTAAAGCTAACACAGGTATATCTACACAGGCTGCAATCACACCTTCCAATTGCAGAGCAGACATACCCTTAATGGAGATGAGGACCCTGCCCAGTAACTGTATTCTCTGCACACCCCAGCTAGTAAGTTTGGGAAACAATTCTCCTCTTGATTTTTTTTCTCTCTCTCCTTTCTGGGTTGCAGAATGAATCGCGCTCCAACTGCCGGGTTTGAATCGGACGTCGGAAGCAAAACCACTCACCACTTAGTTTACCCCGAGAGCTTCCGAGACCTGGCGGAAAATGTCAGCATGATTGTGATCCCCTTCAAAACGCTGGACCTGCGCTGGATTGTCAGCGCACTCACCACGGGCACCATAAACTTGTAAGTAAAGCTGAGGCCGACAGGTGCTCAAACTGAATGGGGGACATAGCAGCTGTGTCATCATTGTGACGCTTTCTTGGGGGGGGGGGGCAGGATTGTGAGTCACCTTGTTACCCCCTAGCCTCCAGTATGAGGGAGTCCAGGTGGTAACTGGGAATCAGCTCCCTGACACTGCCAAGCCTTTGGTCACTCAAGAACTCTCCTCAGGGCTCTGCCAGCCCTTACTTTGCCTGGCAGGTTTACACTTGGTGCACCCCAGTCCTGGAACGCCAGGGAACCATCCCTCTCTGGTATCCGGCCCCTGTCATTGGACACTCACCGGAACTGCCAGGTTCGCTGTTCCCAAGGGAACGGTATACACACCAGCTTGTTTGAATCAATGGGGGATTCACACTTCCTGCCCCAGCACTAAGAAGTATTTATAATAGAAACAAGAATACATTTATCAACCAAGAGCAAAGATTCAAAAATTCAAATGAGTGGTGAGCATGAATATTGGAAGCAGAATTGATTACACATATAAAACAAAACTTAAAATGCAGTCCTAGGTCTACATTTACCGATGGTTACCTTTCCTGTTTATAGAGTAGATTCTCTCCCAAGGATTCAGTCTTTGACAGAGTTGCTGGTTGTCAGTCATAACCAGGATCCAGGTTTTCATGAATACCCCGACCTTTCAAGGGGTTTTCTCGTAAATGGATAACACAGACGTCCTTTGTCTTTTCTCTTATACCGCAAAATTGTGTTTGCACCCCCGGGACAAGACTGTGGGTTTAGTCGCCGTGTTGACTTTATAGCCTTGTGTTGATTTGGAATGCAAATGTAGATCCCATTGTGTTTGGCTTAACTTTCAGATGAACTGAGACAGGTCAATAAACATCCTACTCTAACAGAAAACTTGTTTGCCAACTCTGCCTCTGAACGTATCTTCCGCACATGTACCTAACTCCTTAAATATCACCCCTAAGTACATTACCCCATGTGATGAAAGCTTCCGTTAGCCACCTTACACAACCCTTTGTGAATAAATACTATGAAAGCAGTGTGTTAGATGTAGTGAGTTTGTCAGACCTGATAGAGAGTTTCTGTTACCGAGCATTGAATCCTTTGCCATTTGGCATTGAGGGGTTCTCTGGGTCACACTAGTGTGTTAGCACAAAGTGTAACCACTGCACAAGAGAGATGAGGCCAAAAGCGCAGCATTGATCTAAATTCCACCTCTACCTATGCATCAGAGGATTCCAGTTCTGCAGGCACACTCAGGAGCAGAATTTGGCCCTGCTGCGTTTTGTTTTCTGGTAACAGTTTGACTTTTGGGCGCATTGTGTGGTATGGGCGTTCAGAACAGACTCCTCTTTGTCCCGTGCACAGCAAAACTGGAGAAATGGTAGAGAATGTTTGCTGCTGCTCTAAATCACCAGTGTCCTAGTCAGTTTCCACTTTGATTGCTGCCTTCTTGACCTGGCTTCTGGGACAATGACTCATTTTGGCTGCTCACCTCTCTCCTCTAAGGTGGAGTTTTTGGAGGAAATGAGTGGAAACTGTATTTTTTAGCCTTCAGATACACGAGGCTTCTATTGGTCATAGCTGAAGATGGAACTGGCTGGTTGGAGGGACCTCCAGTGGGTCCTTCATTATCCATTCTTCCAGCATGGAGCTGACAAGTGGCATCTGGCTCCTAATACCACCGGCGAGACTCGTTTACTGTGTGATCCATCCTGCTAAGCACTTCTGCAATCATTATCCCCATTTTACAGATGAGGAAACCGAGGCATAGAGAGGCTGGGGACTTCATCAAGGTCACACGGCACATGAACACCAGAGGCAGAAAAAGAACCAAAGCTACCTAGTACCTAATGAGCCCATTTAGTCAAGTCATTTAATTGGTCTACCTCAGTTTTCCCCATCTGTAAAACATGGACAATGATTTCTTAAGTAGCCTACTTCCGCCACAGGAGTCTGGGGAGGGTTAATTGGTTTAATGCTTGTAGAGTTTGGAATAGATTTGCATGCATGTATCAGAGATCAGGTTATATCCCCAGTATCACTGTATTTGAAAAGTTCAGCAATAATAATGAGGGATTGTCAGAGTAATTATAAAAGGGAGAGCTTCTTCACAGTCTTTCTCTCTTCCTCCAACTCCCAACTCCTCAGTTCTGTCCTCTCCTTCCTTCCCTTCTCCCCAGCACATAAAGCAAACCCAGTGTTAGATTCCTTGTGTGATTTCATTTCCTGGTGGGGTATTGTCTCCCATTCTGAAGCAGTCTGTATATAGCAAACTGTTCGCTCAAGATCTTGCTAGATCTGTGGCTGACAGCTGGAGGACCAAGAAGTTAGTCCCAGGGAGTGGCAAAGAGGAGTGGTCTTGACTCTGCACAGACTTACCAGTAATTTGTCTCCAGCTGTGTGACTCAGGCAGATTCCAGAGGTTAGATAAACAGAGCAGAGGAAAAGGGCTCAGAACCACCTTGTTTTCCTCATTCCTGGTGAACAAGGGACCTGCTCCTCGTAGCTCAGAAAGAAACCTGCGGCCCAAGGAGACTACTGACCAGATGTGGGTAGGCAAAGATGCCGTGTCATGGTGCTGACAGAGCAGACTTGCACCTGTGGGCTAAGCTCATGGTGTAGCTTAAGCAAGAGAGGATGGACTGCCTCGGTCCCTGACTCCCCTGCTGCTGTCTGCCAGGAGGGGCTCTAACCCCACAGGTGGCTCAGCTGGGCGTGGGTCACTTGGGAGCAGGCCCTGTAAGTGCATATGCTGAGTAGGACCTGAGCATTCCGGAGGAGACCCAGAGGAACAAAGCTCCAGTTGCGTTCACTGCGGGAAAGCCCTGGGGAGTAGATTAAAGGCCCACATCCCCCATCGCTTGGCCAGGCTGCTGAGAGGCAGCAAGTGCTCCAGAGTGGCTGTGTACATGGGCCTTCAGAAGACAGCACAGGAACACTGAGAGAGGGGCAGTTCTCCCTTTGACATGCTGGGACTCTCCTGTGAAGGGGATTGGAGATGAAACAGAAGGGGATGTTCTGGGATCAGTCCTGTGGAGACGGGAAAGGGATTGTATCTGCTGGGCTCAACAGAGGAGACTAACTATGAGGAGAGAGTCAGGATTAGATGTGTGGACCCGGGAAGTATGAACGGTGCATCTAGCCTATGGCCATGAGCTGGTGAGGGCACTTGCTGCAGGGGCCAGGCCCTGCTAAAAGATCTGTGTTCTTTCTTCTTCGTTTGATAAACAAATGGAGGGGAAAAGATGCCATGTGGGGAAAGCTGGACCAGAACTTTGTGTCCACCCGCACTGCTCCAGCAGCTACCTCTCACCCCCCCACATCCACTTGATGACCGTTGCAGATGAGCTTGGCGAAGGGGCAAGGGCTGCCTCTGAACATCTGCTGAACTAACCCTGGGTGGAGGGGGAAATTTTTCACTGGAACAACAGTTAGTTGGGGCTTGACTACACCACACAGCTTTTAGGGACAAGGCCGTGTCGACACAGCCTGGTTGCTAAAAGTCAGCACGTGTAAACGCTCTTTGTCGGTACTTTTGCCGACAAAATTCTTCCAGCCCCATGAGCGGCGTTAGCTATGTCGGCAAAGCCACATTCATACTGCCACTTGCGTCAGCAAAACTTTTGTCTTTTGTGGGGGGGCTTTTTTAAGGAACCGTGAAAGACAAAAGTTTTGTCGACAACTTTGCAGTGTAGACAAGCCCTTGTTGAAAGCTGAAGCATGAAAGAAGCTTGTGGTTGTACTGTATAGTGAAAGCATCCCTGTTTCATGTTCCACTTTGGTGCCTTAGCTATGATTCATCACACGTTAACTTGTAGTAAAAATGTGTCACATCACAAGCAGTCTTTAAGGTGGCAATTAAACTGTACTTCAGTGACTGTTCTTTGTCAACACTGAATAAAATGAATACAAATAAAACCAGCTTTTCTTTTGCTTATCAACTAGCATTCACTGCCCATTCCTGGGCATGGGTTTTTCTATGGAATTGTGCATTTCCCATTTTTCTTAAGTAGGAAGTGATATCCTGGTTATAAATCATGACTTAGGGCGTTTGCGCCACAGCACCCATCATTGATGATGTCCCTGTGCATGCAGAGAGCAAGTCTATGTCAAACTATTTCCCTTCTGGGAAAAGTGTTTTGAAATGTTTTAGCCCTTTGCTCAACCGCAGTGCCTAAAGCAGAAAGGAAAAGTGGAGATTTACATGAATATCTTCACCCACTGATGATCAGAGCTGTTTGAAATGTTGCTAAGGAAATCTATTTCTAAAAAATCCCAAATCTGGCCTTTTTCCAAAAATGAAAGTCAATTTTTTTTTTACAGAAACACTTTCTGTTTTCGCAGTTTCCTATTTTATTATATATATTTTTTTCCTAATCCCACTCTTGCTTGGGAGACCATGTCACATGCTGGGGATTTTGAAAATCCAAAATTTTCAAAACTGGAAAATCTGTTTCAACAAAGGTGGGTGGGGTGGAGAACGTCAATTTTGAAAATTGTGATTGGTTTAGGCAAATTAATTAATTAAAAATGCAATTAAAAACTGCAGAAAATTTTTGAAACACAAAAAATTGGTACATTTTGAAAACAGGCAGAAGAAACCCATCTTTGACTTTTTTTCTCAGGTTTGTTTTCCTCTCTCCCTCCTCCCCCCCCCCCCCCCCCCCCCCCCCC